CCTGTGCGGTAGCCAGTATAACAGCCACGATGGCCGTGTTGATCCAGCCAGTTCCAAAGTACCACACCATCATCAGGGCGATAGCCTCCAGGAGCAGGATGTGACCCAGATGCAGGATGAAAAACAGGGGCTGGGTTTTGAAACACCCCTCAGCCTCCAGACGCTCACGAAGGGCTCGGAAATCCTCCACAAGTGCCCCCTGATAGAAAACGAAGGTGAAATGACAACAAATACAGTCCTCTATGGCCACGTTCACACTGCGAAGGGAGTGACAATCGCATTTAAATGCAGGAGTGAATCGACTTTCATGACCTGAATTTTTAAGGGGTGAACACAGCTGAATCACTCAGAAGTTTGGAGTATGTGACTCGTGTCTTCGGGCAAAGGTTAATCTGAGCGGTGTATTGCTTTTTGTGCTTTAATGTCATTCTTAAGTCAACAAGCTGTTATTTGGCTGTCTGGGAAGTGGAATTACAGCCTGACAGTCATTCTGTGATGTGAAGGTCATGATCCAGAGCTCATACAATACACATAGCTGCTTTCTGGAATCAAACACATTGTGCAGCACAGTATTGAATTGAGAACGCCTTTTAAACTGCAATACAATTCCTCAGTTTGAACGGATTTGAATTTAGAATTTGAATGAAAAGAAGTAGAATTAAAATTGAAAATGAAATAAAAAAAGTAATTATGACTTTTTATTTCACAATTCTGACTTTGGTCACAATTCATAAGTATGCCATTAAAGTATGCCATACGTATGTTATTTAATAGCAATTTTAGAAAAGAGAAGTTCATCATTTGAACTTAGGATGACTGTTTGACAGACTTATTTAAAGGTGTTAAAAAAAAGCTACAGATGTCTTGGAGTTTGATGGTTTTATAAGCCTTACGGAAACACAGATGCAATCAATTGCCAGAACGCAATGACCTGATAAGTTTCTTTGAATTGTAATTCAGTCATCCCAATTTGAATTTCAACTCAACTTTCTGTGTAAAGTGGTCAGTTCATTTCAAAGTCACACTCGATAGCTGAATTCTGAATTCGATAAGTGCATCCTAACCAGATTAATGGAAATTCAACCAGCTGTCATGCTTCAGTAAAGTCCCTGTACTCACGTTTTTCTGCCGGTCTTGACTGGGCTCAGACGCCTCAAGCTCCCCAATTAACAGCGGCTTCATGTATTTCCTCACGAGCTGAAGGTTTGGATGAAACGCATTAAATGCGTCCTGTCACAACAGATTCAACATTGATGATTGTTATTTTATTCTTATCTGAAACAATTACAACAACACTGCAACAAACAACTGCTTTAATAAGCACCTACCTAGACAGCATTATGGGCCATTAGAAACACATGCCTAAAATACCCCAGAATGCTGTCTAGTTTGTAATATTTGTTATATTTGAATATTAATGCACATTAACATTCGCATGATTAATTATTCGCTTTTAGGGTTGCAAAAAGGTGGAAAATCCAGTAAATTTCAGAAAAATTCCAGAAATTTTGGAAAGTTTCCAGGATTTTTTGGAATATTCCA